TGCACCGGCCGGAGCCGCTCAACAGGTTCGAGAGGCTAGTGACCGGAAGTGCTCCATTTGGCCGTCCTTTCAGCTTCCGGCCACAACTTGGAGGATTCTCGTTTGGGTTAGGCCAAACCGGGCACCCCAATCTTGCAATACCCGGTTTAGCAATCCGGCAAGGGAACTTACCCAGTTTTCCGGTTCGGCCGTTCTTGCTGCCGCGGACGGTTGGTGATAGTGGGCTGATGTTGTCGGAGCCGAAAGTGGAACCAATGTCGGAGACAGGGCTTCGCTTGTCGGGAAGTTCATCAGTGTACGGGCAAATCATGAATAGGTTGTCTGATATGTGATGAAAGCTTTGTTCATTGTGTTTTGGTGTTTAAACATCTTTTTTCCCCCTTCCAATTCTTGCTATTAATTTATGGTTCTTTATAGGCATTTCTGATGTTTTATTACCACAGCAAAAAAAAAACTTTACCATTTTATTTGGGAAAAATGAGCACAAAAAACACAATACCATAATCTGTAGGTCCCAAGTTGCAGACATTGCATATCTGCTACTACCAATAGTTACTTTTTGGTAAGAAACGTAGTGGCACTTACCGCAATAGAATACGACAAAGAGAAGAAAGCTTTCTCGGCTGTTTGTTCAGTCCCTCCAAAACATATCAGACATCTCTGAGTTCTAAATTCTCAGCGACCAAAAGGCTCCAGAAACATCAAAAAGATGTTTGGGATATGGAAAGAACGAATTCAGATGAACGCAGTCCTCCCGCCTCTTCGGGTATGTCTATCATAGGCTGCGTTGAATTTGTCGACAAGCTCGTTCATAGTGCTGCAGATCGAGCAAAAAGGTACAAGCAAAATGGAGTCACTATGAGTCTCAAATCTAAATCTTCGAAGCTTCTACTAGTCAATAGTCATTTAGTTTACCAAGGGTTAGGAAGATTAAAATCGTCATATCAGGGGCTTTAGTTCATTTCCAAATTCCAATCACACCAATTCATTTCCAAGTAATCGAAAATCACTTTCATTACTGTAGTTAATCCCATGGTTATACAAACAGATGAATGTGAAGTACATACCTTGAACAGTTTGTGAACATTGACAGGTAAGTTATCAGTAATTTGTCATTGTATTCCTGCAAATGATAAGGGCGGTGTGTAAGGAAAGATTAAGATTAATAACAATAAGCAACGGTAAGGGAATGAAATATCACACTATGTGATACTACAAGAAAAAAACACACCATCAAGAAATCATCTTGAAACCTTTCTGATTCAATGGCAGGCAACCTTCTGAGCAGGCTGGATACTTGTCTTAGAAGCGAGTTCTCACATGGAATATCACCTAGAAGCCGAATACCACGAGAAATTAGTCACAAAGACAGAACCTAAAGCACCTAACGACATCATGTTTGCGAATCCCACGAGTCAATATCATCTACTAACTGTACTGGACTTCTATTCACCATTCAGAGCTTTAAAAACAAGGACATGTGAACTACCCAGCTAAAAGTAAAGATGAATGACATAAAATATTAATCACTGAATTGAACAGGGAAAGAAAACAGGAAATTGGGTAAGGTCAACTAATACCTTTCTGCATAGCAACGAGATTTTGATAGAGCACTCTGATTCTGCTATTTAGCATCTTGATGGCACTATGTATGCCAGTAAGATGAGCAGCCACTGCACATCAACAAGCGGCCAATTTCCACTTCAGCGAGGCAGAATCAAAGATCGAGACATGTGTAAAAGACATGAGGCTCACATTGGGTCGCTGCTGAGCCTCCATCAGATGGTTTGAGATGTGCAACATGATCAACTGATATCCGTTCGGCCTCCACTGTCTATACGTATGTAAACATCTTAAAACAGTTATTTGAATTCCGGTTTTGTAATACATATACGAATCACAGAATCAATAGGTAAGCACAGACCTCAATGGTGTAGCTTGCACGGACGAAAATCAGCTGAGGAATTCCATCAATGACATGCAACTCTTGAGGTTGAGATGACCGATCAAAGGTTGGATACAAGTTAGCATCTTAACAACAATCCGAAAGAACTAAATTGGGAATCAAGGTAAAGATGAAAAGCACGATACTAAGAGGAGGAAATCCAAAATCGCTCTTCAGAAGGAAACAACAACATATGCAGCTAGACATCTTAGAATCCGTGAATTTCAAAATACAGGTACAGGCCCATCAGAAAACCATTTAAGCAAGTCTGCCTACATAATCGTATAGAGGATCACAACTTGAGTCACGAACACCGAAGCAAGAAGAATATTAAGATAACATACCGCTTTCATATATAGTCACTGGGAGATCCTTCTGTGCGTGATTGATCGAAGGGTTTAGAAGGACATAAACAGGAGATTCGTTAATGTCCATCAGCTGTCACCGAAAGCAAAATCATCCCAATGAGCAAACGCAAGACTCATACCGCCTGCACAGCCCGAGCAATCTCAATTCTCCATAAAAACTATACAGAGCTGCACTCACAGCTTTGTGGATATGCATATCGGATTCCTGAGCGTCACTTCCAGTGGAGTACCATCCCAAAATATAAAAGTGAGGGAAGACCTTCTTGTCTAACAAAACAACGAAATGAGAGTAGATGCTGAAACATCCATATTAGGAAAGGAAGCAACAAAATCCGTGGAAAATACCCAATCAGGAGCAGACGAGCAGGAAAAGGAAAGCGCTCTATAATGTTACAGTAGTAATCAGAAGAGAAGAAGACGGAGAGAGAGAGAGAGCTTACAGAGCTCTTGCTTCTTCTCGAGGAAAGATCGGTCGAGGGTGTCAGTAGAAGGATCATATAGAAGCTCGAAGCTATTGAAGATCTCGACCGTGCGGCCCCTCTGGACACCGATCACGCACCCGTAAACCCTAGGGTTCTGCTGGAACGCCGCGTCACCACCGTGGCCATTGCCGCTAGCGGCGGAGACCGACGGCGGAGGATTAAGCTGTGTCCTAACCCTAGTGTAGTGATCCGATATGTTGACGATCACCAGAGGATGTAGCTTGAACGTGAGACCGCTCGACGACGAAGGCACCATTGTCGTCCGTCCCCCACTGTTCTCTCTGTCCAGCATTCGTACTCTCCTTTTTTTTTTCACTTGTCGTGACCCTCGAAATCGGGTCCATGAAATGGGCTTGGGCCTTAAGTTAGGCCCAATTGTCATTCATCCAGAGATACCGTGTATAGCGAAATTCAGGTACCGTGTACCCCAAGTAATGATGAAAGAGACGAGTCTGGCAATATCACTTAGGGCTTATAAGGTTTGACTTTAGTATTGGTGGGCCGACCCCACATGACTGGGCTGCAATGGGCCGAATATGTCACTTTTTATGGCAAATTAAAGATTTAAATATTTGGGATGTAATTACTAATTATTATGTTTTTGTTTTGCGAACGCAATATTATGTGATATATGATATACGAGATTCTTGATATATTTGCACTATGATCCTTACAATTACATTTTTTTTTATAAAATGTTGGGTTAAATCTCGTAACTACATACAGAAACAGAACCAAGCCGAAGTACAGTGTCTAACCAAATTTAAAAAATATATATATTTTTTAAAAAAGTAAAACGAAATCAAAAGGAATATAAGAATAATTAAAAAAATAAATAAAATATAGTTTTAATAACAACTAACAGATTTTTTAATTTTAAACATGTAAAAAAATTACTAAATTTAAAAAAAAAAATAGGAAACTAATCTATCTATTCCCCACGTCTCGATTAATTCGTTGGTTTTATTACCAACTAACTGAAGATTAGAGCTGAACTAAACAAAGAAAAGCGGGTGCAGAGACAACAAAGAACCCGACATAAACAATCGAAAATTAAAAAGTTGACCTGACAAAACGCCGGAGCAGAGCCTAAATTAATAAGAAGTCTTAAATATCCCTTAATCAAAGTTAATTAAATTAACCCTATCTGCTAATTACGAAAACGACATAAAGTTAGAGAACAGGAGAGAGAGAGGTAGGGAAGAGGACGGAGACAAGAGGACGTGGTTGGGTTATTTCCTCCCACTCTTTTTCTTCTTCAATTGTTCTTTCTTTTGGTGCTTTTTTCTCTCCTTAATTTCTCTGACCGTCGCGGAAAAAAAAACCTTTTCGAGTTATCTTCTTCAGGGAGGAAAATCAAGAGAGAGAAGAAAATTTTCAATTTTTTGGGCAGAAAAAGGAAGAATATTGGAAGGTATGATCTTTGAGTCAGTCCTTCATGTATTTTTCCTTGTATTTATTTATATTTTGTAATGTTTGTGTTGTTGATTGCTTCAAGGATAGCGAAATTTGAGATTTTTTTTCGTAATTTTACTTTGTTTCTTATTGAAGGAAGTTTACGAGGAAGGAGAAAAGCAGTAAATTTGTTTGCTTTTTTGAAGATTTTCTCTTTGATCTTATACAGGATTCTATGTTAATCGGGTTTCTGTTTTGGGGCTCAATTTTTTGGTGGGTTTTATGTGGGTTTCCGTAAGAAGCTGATATTTTTCTTAAGAATTTCCTGTCTGAATCCTGCTGTTTGCTGGATTTGATGATAATCCACAAAAAGATTCATATGAAGGCATAAATGGAGATCCCGGGAAATTTAATTGGGATATGTTTCTCCTTCTGGACTCCATTGACTCGGATCTGTTGAAATAAATTTGAAAGGGAGGGACTTGGGACATGGGTAGAGGAGAAGTGCAGAAATTTCTAGGGTTCATCTTGTTTGATTGTGTGCCTTTTCTGTTTGTGCAGAATCAATCGAGAGGGGGAGAGAGATTTGAGGGGGAAGGAGATTATGGAAGAGGCGATGGCGGCTAGGTATTGGTGCCATATGTGTTCACAGATGGTGAATCCAATGGTGGAGGCAGAGATCAAATGCCCATTCTGCCAAAGCGGCTTCGTCGAGGAGATGAGTGATGGTAATGGCGATAGCCCTCGAGACGTTCAAGATCCAGATTCCGACTTCGGAACGGACCGTGCCCTTTCTCTCTGGGCCCCGATCTTGCTCGGCATGATGAGCAGTCCCCGGAGGCGTAGGAGGTTCAGGAGAGTAGAATTCGCCGAAGAAAACGACGTTCATGTTGATGATGATGATTATGATGGAAACGATACCAACGATCGTCGTCATCATCATCGGGCTCGGAGGCATGGTGAAGAGATTGATTTGGATAGGGAGTTCGAGTCTATCCTCAGGAGGAGGAGGAGAAGCTCAGCCACCATACTGCACTTGCTTCAAGGAATCCGAGCTCGGATCGCGTCCGAGTACGAGAGCTCGGAAAACGCTGGCGATTGGGATAATGGGGATGGGGACAGAGTCATTATGATCGGTCCTGCAACGGATTCGAACCAAACTTCTCTAACGTCTCTCGGAGATTACTTCGTCGGACCTGGTCTGGACCTGCTGCTTCAGCATCTGTCTGAGAACGATCCGAGCAGGCAGGGGACACCTCCTGCGGGGAAAGAGGCGGCGGAATCACTGCCGGACGTGAGAATAGCGGAGCAATCTCTGCAATGCTCGGTCTGTTTGGAGGATTTCGAGAAGGGAGAAGAAGCAAAGGAGATGCCATGTAAGCACAAGTTTCACAGAAGATGCATATTGCCATGGCTGGAGCTCCATAGCTCGTGTCCAGTGTGTCGGTACGTTCTTCCTCCTCCCGCTGGTGATGAGGATGAGACGACAAAGGTCGAGAGGGGAAGAGCCGTGGAAGAAAGTAACAGCAGAAGCGACAATGGAAGGAACGAGGAGGAGGAAGGTCGGAACAGGAATGGAAGAAGGTTCTCGTTCACGTGGCCGTTCGGTGGGTTGTTCTCGTCGTCTGCGTCTGGATCTGGGGCCGGTGGTGGTGGTGAGAACAGTTCTAATGGCGGTTCTTCTCGAGGATAATTGATGTTTTCTTTTACTCGTTTTTGTGTTTTTGTTCAGCTTATATTCTGTACAGAATTTCATTCTCTTTCACTCAGATTGCTGAAAAAATGTTGGAGGAATTTTTCTTCGTTTGCTTCCATCCTCATCTGTTGATACACACATATATATATACATATATTGTATATGTGTGTGTATATATCTAATTTGTGAAACCCAAGGGTGATGAGACGTGAGTTTCAACGTTACAAAGACGATAATGTCTTGTCGGGGGGAGTGATGCGCATTGAGTGTCCCTCCCCCTTTTCCAAAATGAAGAGAACCATCTCGAGGGTCCCACAAATCGCAATGACCGCGAGAATTGTGCCACGTTTTGGTGGGAATTATGTACACAAAGACTACGACATGACGTGGAAAAAACGATTATCCCAGCGACTTCTCGCCTCTTGTTGTTTAAGACAAGACGTCGTATGGTGTGATTAATAATATAATTTAACGTACGTATATATGTATGTATATACACAACATGTGATTCTCTGGTGGGATGCTCTATCGCTTGTCCCTTCTTGTCAACATCTTTAGCCCTTTTGATGTAAATTAGAGACAACTTTGAGAAAGTCTTTGTGTATGTATTTATTTATGCCCTTTGATGGGATGTCATCTTCCAAACTATATATAAATAAAAAGGAAAAAACGCCAGACGCAAACGCGTTTTTATCAAAAACCACCTCACGGTCAAGATCTTGATCACGGACGCGTTACCGATGCGGAGGAGAGCCACGACAGAGTGTCCGGTCTTGCAGAGCCGTCTCTGTTTCCCCTACTCAGTCGCAAACTCTATAGCTTCCGAGGTCGACTCGCCATGCGA